ACCCGAGCCATTTTGAAAAGTTAATTCGAGCGCGAAAACTTGACGCGATCACTCACACACGCACCCGCCCATGCAACAAACACACACAGAACCCGAGTCATAGAGCCTTTTATATAAGTGTTACACCAAACATATATCTAAAGAATTCTGGCTACACAGTGATTGCTTATGTGGTTACAGTACGATCATTCATGCTTAATGCTGATCCGAAGTTCGGGGGTTCGATACCGGCCGTGGCGATCGCATTTCGGTGAAGGCTTAGCTCTATAGGGGGTCTGTGTACTGAGCGATGTCGGGGCACGAGCTAGTCGATATTCCCGGAGCCCCCCCCCCCCCCCCCCCCCACTGCGGCGATCCTGATAATCGTATCGTGGTTTTGGGACGGAAAACCCACAAAGTATAAATATCAACACTTTCGGATTTTTGTACCCTAAGATGCATATTTCTCATTACCAAACAAACTTTACAATCGCACTCGACGGACTTTTACGTCGGCCTTTCGCTTAGTTTCACGTATTTCCCTCTTTATTTTTTTTTTTTCCAGATCTTAGATCATCCCATTACACGTTCAATATGCTAATTTTGCACTCCCAGCCACGGGAACCCCCAACATAAGGACATCCTGGATCCGTCATTACAAAGCAGAGCTCACTGCGAAAGGTGGCACTAACCATCGTGGGTGTCTGCATTTTTACGGTGACTATTCTGATTACTTTCATTCTTTTTGTCATGGATCGCCGTCGTCATTAGCTTCGTTTAGCTCCTGGAAGGGAAATATACACAGTGTATGTGCTGCAAATCACGCTTTATGCATGTTTTTTTTTTTTCGCGTTTGAATGGTAAATTGACCTACAGAGTGTACGACTTGGTATTGCGTGCCTCGGAACGAAAATGCGAAACAAAAGAACAAAATGAATTCGTCGGCGGGTGTTGCAGTACAATTTCACCTTTGCGGTGGTGGTGGTTGTGTTGCAGCAGGTGGGGTTAGCCTGGCCTGCGTGGCCGGCGATTGTTCCGCCTGAGCATCTCCTAAATTTGGAACGCTGCAGCTTATCTGTGCTCAGTTTGAGTGTGTGCTGGATTCGCCAATCTAGTGTTCTGGCTCTTGCCACAGCAGATACCGCTAGCTATCCTGCAACCATTATGTATACTCTCTTTGCTCCTGCTGTCACCTTCTGACACAGTGGACATTGACAAAGAAGAAAATCTTACCTCCTCGTGGTCATGGCCTCCCGAATGGACTTACTCGTCAAGAGGAGGTATCGCTCCGAAGGCTTCGCGAGAGTGTTGCTGTGGCACTTTCAGTACGCGCGAAGTGGGGCTACATTGACAGAACTTCAAGCTGTCCATTTCGACCAGCGCTGCTGCGGGAAGCCAACCTTAACCACCTTTTATGGACATGCACCTGGTCTCCAAGCGGCTCGTCGAAGGCATCTGTGGCGTACGAGCCTCTAGCACCGCCTGAATTGCAGTAAAGGATTTACGGTCCAAACCACAGGTACCTCCTAGACGTTATGGAGGAAAACCATCTGCACAATTTTGTGTAATATGTATTGATGCCGTAGGACAAACTTACACAATGAAAAAATAGTCGGCTAAGAAGGCATTACCTTCAATTTCTATTTCTCGAAATTTTCATTTTTCTTATCTGCCGAAATTTATAACAGTGATCCATTTTTAAGATTACCCGTTCGCTGATTCTATTCGGAAGCGAAAATCGTGTCTGTGAAGAAGAGAGAGAGAAAGAATATAAGAAAGGGGGGAGGTTGACTAGATTAAATCCAGTTTGCTATCCTACACGTTGGGAGAGGGGAGTAAAAGAGAAAAAGAGAGAGGATGCGATGAACATCGCACACCACGCACACACCGCACACACAGTGAAGAGTTTCATAGGCAGTGTTGCTCAGCGATGATGCCCTAGATAATTGTATAATGGCTCGTGTGGCTTTCTAGGCTGATGTACTTGAAGGCTATGCGCCCAATATCTCCTCCTGAGTAAATGGTCGATCATCGAGTCTCCTTAAGGCACACTGAAGAGTCCGGTGATCTTGTTCGAATTTAGGACAATGGCACAGGACATGGTCGAGAGTTTCTATACGCAATGGCAGTGGCAACAACCGACACATCATTGTAGCGTCCCGTCGCGAAGTCTTTAATGGCAGCTGTAAATGGGCATCGAGCGGAGTTCAGGGGAAGATTACAGTGCCTAAGTGTGGCATTATGCATGGTGTGGCGAAGTTCTCTTGCAGCGTCAACCCTTGGCAGGGGCATGAACAATGTGGGCGCTCCGTCGTGGGCACATCGGGCGGCGTTGTCGGCGAGATGGTTACCAGTGATTCCACAGTGATCCGACAGCCATTGAAAGACTATGTCATGTCCTCGTTTGGTGATTGATTTCATTGATTTCAGACACCAGCTGATGGTGTTCCCGCGTCGTAGACTTCACACACATTGAATGGCCGCCTCGGAGTCGCAGAAGATCGCCTACTTATCGGGGGATTCTCGCATAACAAATTTCATTTCGGCTAAAGCATGTCTGCGAAAGCGTAAAAATATCTCGTTTTATCGAAATTTTCGAATGGCACTGCAGGCCTTATGAAGACATTTGTGTCTTCTAACAAACCTAAGAGTATGTAAGGTAACGATTTTGATTAAATTCATTACATTAACTATATTCTAACTCTACCCCTCTTCGCGTTTTGGCTGTTGTCCGAGTTTTGCTCCACCAGCCTTATTACAACTTTTATTTCAATAGTCAACTTACTTGTAATTTAAAAATGAAACAATATTTCAGCGTCCTCATGCATTCAGACAATTCGACTGTTAGTAATTGTGAATTCCGTTCCAGAGTCAGCGTGCTTGAGCTTCGAGTAGATAAGGCTAACAGCTATTCCATTATTCATTTCAAGTATATGCGGTAATGTTTAGTTTACTATGAGAACCCTTGATTATAAGAGAATGCGTAATGCTAGTTGTGCGTACACGTAGCCAAAAAGCTTAACTTTAGGCGGGTAATTTCAAGTGTTACGTTATGAGTAATAAAGTTTGTGGACTGAAGCCAAGGATCAGACGTTGTCAATAGGCCGACTCCGAGAAAGGTTCCTTTCTATTGTCACTCCTTCCTGGGCACTTGCAAATTGACGTTATGCGCTCGTTAAGTTGTAGATATCAGGATGATAATGAGAACCGAATGGCGCGCTAATGAGAGCGACCGTGGCAATTAGAGTGTACCTGGATAGCGTTCAAATTTCGTTGCTTTCACAAAGATCGATTACATGGCGTGATAACAAAATGAATAAAATCAGAGAACGAAATTTGTGAAATTTATGCAGCTCTTTTCTTTTTAACTAATATTATGGCAACGCGCCGAGAGGGCGCTACCGTGCACTGATGACGGCATCCGAAAAAAAAAATAAGAGTGTAATACCTAAGGTTACTATGGGAAACTTTATGGCGAGAGCAACCCAGCTATGGCTTCAGAGCTACCGCATAGTAGTATGCCTAGTGCAGCATATCTTTTAAAACAAATCGCGATATACAACTAAATGCATCACAGTATTGCACTACAGAGTCCAGCAGCAAATGAGCATGATACAATAGCTTACACGCTTGATGCCCTAAATAAAACATCTCGTAATTAGAAATAATGCTAAAGTGGTAAGTAATAATAATAATAATAATAATAATAATAATAATAATAATAATAATAATAATAATAATAATAATAGTAGTAGTATGAGGAGGAGGACAGCAGTCTGTTTGATCGGCTCCAAAAATGAGATTATCGTTATTATAACAATGCTTTATTTTGCTTTTTTTTGTTTCTCACTTTCTGAATACTTTTTTTTTTCATGTCTTCTTTTTTGTAAATTTTTTGGTAAGCGATAGAGCTGCTACCATTCATAGAACACTATATGTTTTCTTGGCCAATCCCCAAGAGTGAGTATGTGCCATGCTTTCCAGGCTACAAACAAACAAGCTAACAAGTGCCACTGGTGTAATTGGGGTTCTACCCCAGAGGACCGGAGCCAGCCAGAGTCTCGGGGAGATGTCGAGGAGAGGAGCCCGGGGCTGTTAACAGTAACTTTTAATTACATTATATACAGGTAGCGTGTTATTACATGATGAGAGCAGCATCATGGAAGCTCTCGACGGAAGCATGATGGGAGCTTCTGCGAGCTTGTGTGAGCTTGTTGGGAGCGCCTCGGCGCTTGAATTTTACGGCCTGGCCTTCCCAGGATTCCCTGCAGTGAAACAATGGAGGCCAGAACAGTCCAATGAAAATTGTCATATTCACCTTCGCCCCCAAAAGGGAAGGTGAAACACCGCCTCCTTCCTAACCCACGAAAGGGGAAAGAGGCACGCCCAGTTCAACCGATGGCGAGTGAGAAAACATTGCACACCACGGACGACACAGCCCAGCACGAAAACGCTGAGTCTTACGTGGAAGTCAATTTCGCAGTCTGTTGCAGTGATGGCTATGCGGCGCCAGGAAGACCACAACTTGTGGAAACAGCGGCATCAATGCGCCACGGAGAACGCGGGAAATGAATCCGTAGACGGTTGTCAGACGCTGGGCCTTGTGCCCGGGGCACCTTGACTACAAAGCAAGCCCCCTCGACGGCCAACAACTCTTCCTAATCCGTCAGTCGGTCAGGCGTGTCCAAAGGGTTTTACGGAGGGGTGCCGACGACCTGGGATAACTAGAAGAACGATTTCTCTGTTGTCGCCGCTCTTGGTGCATCTCTGGGAGCACTGACTCTGAAGAAATCAGGGTATGCTCAGCCTCATGTCTCATGCGACAAAGCGGCGTCAAGCCAGGCAGGCCATTCATAAGGTCTATTCGATTCAGGAAAAGTGCACGGAACCGTATACAAAAAGGTGCAGCCGGTGCCGGCACCTGGTGCAGCAGTGTCGCAGGTTTCTCGGCACCCGTTTCGGGGTGCAAATGCAATGCATCAGCAGCGCCACCGCTAAAATGTCAATCGAATGTTGAGGTGCAGTGCAAAGCCTTTCGTCTGCTACGGTACGGGCAGTACGGGGCTTAGCACGCACCGGCAAGCGGTTGTCAGTTGTGTGCGAGGATTTGCACGTGATTTGTTAACATGGAGGAACTCCACATCGCCATGGAATTGGTTGAATCTGACAGTGAAGATGAGGAACTCGACGCAGTGTTGTGTCAAATTGGTGCCCAATTGGTCCGCAGCGATCGTAACCGCACACCTAGATACTACGAGGAAGTTGTGGCCCGTTATTTTGACTACGAATTCAAGCGCCTGTTTCGGCTGTCAAGAGAGACGTTCGAAACACTCGTGGGGCGCTTCAAGTCGTCGCCCTTTTTTCCTAGGCCGCGGGGAGGACGCCCCCAAATCCCAGCGGAGAAAACTTGCCTGATTTCTCTCAGCTACTTGGGCACGCAGAATAGTATGTATAGAATCGCCGATACCTTTGATGTCTCCGAGTCATCCGTGTCTTTGTGCTTGAAACGGGTTCTTGACTTTCTCTTTAGCATCAGTGATGAAGTGATTGCTTGGCCCAGCGATCAAGAGCGGGCAAATATCAAAGCAGGCTTTGCTGCTAGGAGCGACGGTAAAGGTCCGAGGAACACTATTGGGTGTATTGATGGTTGCCACATAGAGATTCCGCACCAGAATGAATCACCGGCATCCTACTACAATAGAAAAAAAATTCCTTCAATCATTCTTCAAGGAATCTGCGATGCAAACAGCCGTTTCACTGACATTTTTGTTGGTTACCCTGGCAGCGTACACGACGCACGTGTGCTGAGAGAGAGAGCCCCTTCTACGGCACTGCAGAATCTAAGTGTGCCGGCGATTATTTACTAGGGGACGCAGCGTACTCGCTCCTTCCATGGCTAATGCCTCCATACAAGAACAACAGGGCCACGTTTGAGCGCTACAAGCGAAAGTTTAATAAGAGGCTCAGCCAGCAACGCGTAGCTATAGAACATGCCTTTGGCATTTTGAAGCAGCGCTTCAGGCGGTTATCTCTTGTGGATGCAGACACCATTGATCAGTGTTGCCTCATTGTCACAGCAGCATGTGTGCTACACAATTTATGTAGCAGAAGTCGCGACACATTGAGCAACTTCGAGGATTTACCGAGGGAAGACGACATTGAAAATGACAACGATGGAGCCATCACAAGCACTGCAGCTGTTAGAGAGATGTGTAAACGCCGACGCAAGAACATTGCCGAAACGCAGTGCTGAGACTTCAGGTTCAGTGTTTTACATGCTTGTGTGAACTACTTTGCAAGAACATTGCCGACACACAGTGCTGAGACTTTTAAATGTTTTGCATACTTGTGTGAACTGCTTTTGCCGACACGCAGTGCTGAGACCAGATTAAGTGTTTTACATGCTTTTGTGAACTACTTTGCAAGAACATTGCCGACACAAAGTGCTGAGGAGACTTTTAAATGTTTTGCATACTTGTGTGAACTGCTTTTGCCGACACACAGTGCTGAGACCAGATTAAGTGTTTTACATGCTTGGAATTACTTGGCAAGAACATTGCTGACACACAATGCTGAGGAGACTTTTAAATGTTTTGCATACTTGTGTGAACTGCTACGCAAGAACATTGCCGTCAAGACTTGAAATCGTGTGTTTCACACGCTTTGCTCCTCCGATTTTCACCTTCCTATGTGATTTGTACCAATGCCATAAAACGAGACTTCATGAGAACAAGAAGTTTATTTTTTTGCTTCATACGCTGTCACAAAACGTTCCAGCAGGGCCATTTTTTCTGTGTGTCGAGCAGCCCTGTTTTTTTCAATCTCTTCAAGCGTTCTCAGCAGCTGCACCAAAGGCGGATCTTTCGCCTTACGCTTCTGCACTTCTGCTGTTTACTCAGCACTCGACTCCTGGCAGGCTGGGGCTGCAGCTTGCACTCGAGCCTCTGGTTCTCTGTGAAAAAATATATGATATAGTAGTGGTGCTTTTACCTCTCTTTGATGACCAAACTTACGTTTCCTTGTCCTCTCGGACCATTTTGCACCCCTGTGTATAAGTCACGATTGGGCTGACATGGTGTTGCTTATCCATGATGTCTGCCATCTCTCTGAAAATTGAATGCAATTGGCATCAACGCATTAGTATGTACATGGCAATGTGCCTTCCAGTCACCACTTCCACTCGCACTATAAAGAAGTTTAGGAGAAGATAGAGGCTTGCAATGATGTGATCTGTTGAACAGGAAATGTCGCTTGAGCCAAAGTTATCACAAGAGGAAAGACAAGCCCTCTTAAACTTTAGCTTCAGCATCATTCTCTTTCAATTATCTTTCATGTTAAGGCAGGAGAAAGACAATGGGAAATCAGCCAGTTCGGTTTATTATTGCATCCATAACCGGCAAATAGTGCAACAGAGGATCTCTGGGCTGACGTGTGCAAACAAAGCAGTGCTACTAGTGCATAATGGAATACAAACAAATTATGGCCGGACCACACGACTTGTAGGAACCATAAGTGCACCCTACAGTGGTGCAATCGCCTGTCTACAGTTCCCATAACAAGGATGATAAAAATAGCTGAAGCTCCAGACTTGCTAGAGACTCAGACTTTCCTAATGCTTTAGCGTAATGTGACTTTGGGCGACTGGTTGCATGTAGTGCAAAGAAATGAGAGAAAGAGATGCATGATTGCTAACTAAAATTATTTTTTGCACAAGCCCTGTCACTTTAAAAACAAAAAATTGGGGTTTTCAAAAACATTTTTGAAACTCCTAACAGCTTTTTTGTAGCATGTAGGTTGTTTTGCATGATAACTTTTTTGGGGGCACATTGGGGTTTACTGTAGGGCATATTTGTTCTGCAGAAAAAAAAAAATCAGTAAGGGAGAAGGCTGCTTCAATGAGCTGGTTCGAGTGAAAAGAAAAACCACTTAAGTGCGTGCCACTGTGCAAGTTTTTTGTTTTCTTTTTCTACGCATGAAATAGAAGTTGGTTATGGACAGAATTACGCACTCAGAAAGAAGATATAATAAGCACTGAAAACTTACTCTTCAAACCTACACTCCACAGTTCCGCTGCCGGACTTCCGATTGTTTTCTCGGGCTCTTTTATAGGCTCTTTCAAGTGATTTCCACTTATTCGTCACTTGGAGCACACTCAGCGAGCACTCGAATTCCTCATTCAGGGCATCCGTCATGTATAGGAACAACGGATTTTTGTTCCTGTGAGCAAAAAAAAAATTAACAGAGTAATGCACACGTGCTTATCACCAACGTGCTCATCACTGCCTCACCTCAGTCCTCCCTTCTTTCCGATGTTTCTGAAATTCTCCTTATATTTTTCAATCAAAAATCTGGTCCTCCGACCGCTCCATAGAGCTTCTTCCGAGTCGTCGCGACGCGCACGACCCGGAGAAAGCGCAGCAGCTGCAGCAGCGGACGCCTGCGTCGTCGGCTCAGCATTGTTTGGCGGTGTTGGCTGCGTTGTAGGCATAGCCGGCATGGCATGCTCGTTTGTCGGGTCAGCATTGGCAAGACGACCCGACGCACAAAAACTACCCGCACTTGTCTCCCATCTGAAAAAGGCAAAACAACAACCACAAAAAAAAAACAAAGGGTAATGAAGAAATGTCCCCGTCGGGCCAGTGAGCGGACAAATGGTCCAGCATGCTTTTCCAAAATTACCTGTGGTAGTGTAGAGTTCGGCGTCGCCGTCAAAGACGATAACTCCAAACTCGTCCACGATGGGAAAAATTTCGGTCTGGACACCGTCGATGTCCGCGACCATCGGCATATTTGTCGTCTGCTGGTCGCGTTGTCGTCCGCTGTCTGCCAAGCATGCGCGGGTAGCAGGTTGTGGGGCTGCACCCAAAATGCTGCACCCTCGCGACGGGAGGTTCAAGGGTTCGCGGCACCGCGGCAGCACCTTACCTGCACCCGCCACAATCGAGGACGTTGGTGCAGGGGGCGCCACTGCACCTTCGGGAATCGAGGACCTAGGTGCAGCGCACCGTGAAAAAGTGCAGAAGGTGCAGAGAACCTAGGCTGAATCGAATAGACCTTACACATTTCAAACAGCATCATTGCCGTGTAGCAACTTTTTTTCCTCTGTGCTTTCTCAAAAACTTCCTTCAGTTCAGCCCATTGGGCAAGTATCCTATTTACTGCCGTGTGTATTGACAACCAGCGTGTGTCACAGGTTTGTGGTATAGTAAGTGGTGTCTCTCCGTCGTTCATTTCGCGGTATAAGCTTTGGTATTCCAGTTTCCCTGTCGAGGAGTGAGCAAACCATCGGTATGTCTCTCGCACCAGAAATTCTGTTTCGCGGCAAGGTAACCGACGCATGCGAAACTGCATGCTGAAGAGAATGGCAGACGCATCGCACCATAACAAGATGATGAATATCTTTCCTTAGTCGAGCGTAGACGCCACTGTTCACGCCCGTCATGACGTTTGCATTGTCCACTCCAATACCAACAACGTTTTTTCGGGTTCAAACCCTTGCAACGCAATCCTTCCAAAGGCGCCGAGGCGATGCCTTCAGCAGTGCACTGTTCAAGTTCTTGCAGGGTGAGGAAAGTCGAAACGATTTCGCCGTTTGACTTGGAAAAATACCTGATGACGATGCCGAGCACCTTGAAGACACTAATATCGGTCGATTCGTCGATAAGAACGCTGTATTTTTGTTCGGCAATATCTTCCCGTAACGAATTTTCAAAATGTGGTGCAAGGACGTTCTTTATCACGTTAGTACACTTTGTGCGATGAATCTTGATATTAGACGCGACCTTGCTATCTTGAAAAATCCGCTTGCAAGCTTCTCCCAAGTGGTCGGTGGTGTTCATCGCGCAATGTTCGGCAACAAAAAGAGCAAGAGTGGCTTCTGCTTGTTGCACAGGACTTGGCATTGCACGTGGCATGACATCAGTTATAGCAGGCTGCTGAAATCCTTTGCGTGGCACACATTCCATGTGTTTCGAACACGCGGCGTGCTTATCGATGCTCGCTTTCTTCGCCTCGATAGAACACTTGCACAATTTGCAAAAAGCTTTGAAGGGGTCCCCGGACATCACCATAAGCCACTCCTTGTACTTATCGTCTTTAAGTCAGTAGTCTCTGAAGCGCTGTTTGTACGTTTTGCTCTTGTCTGCCATGTTGTCTGATCCTCTAAAAATCCTAAAGTATGAGTACGCCGCGCTTTTTGCAATCAGAGCAAATAGAAAAAACGAAGTTCCAACCACACACAAAAAAGTTCGATGATAGCCAAAGCACTGCTACACATGCGAAACAAAATCTGGCGGAAAAGACAGTCCGAAAAGCCGTTGCAACAACTGCGCACTACGGAGCTAAATACGCAGACGAAAAAAAAAATTTCACCGGCCACTCCGAAAGTCCGATATGACCACAGGATCACGTGTCGCCGTCCCGTAGAGAAGCCTGTGTTCCCTAGATGGTTCGCTGGCGGTGTGGAGTGCGATTTCGGCTGCTGTCTTACTGTCCGAACAGCGTACGCATGGCTGCGCGCCAGTCTCGGCGAGGCCTAGCTGGCCTACCGGGCGATATATGGTCCCTAGAAAGATATGTTAGTCTGCCGTCCGCCGGCCGCGAAAGGACTCCTCCGTGATGCATGCAGCGGGGGCGCTGCACGCAGTCAGAACGCGGCCGGCTAGTGTCGGCGTGAAAAACAGTGCAGCGGACGGCGCTTTGCTGTGGTGCATTCGTAGGCCGCTTTCAGCCGATTTTAACTGCGCGTTTTCTTCCTCTCTTCGTTTTAGTCCACAAAACAGATTAGCTAAACAAAGTGGTTCCTACGAATACGAAGAGCTTGTTACCGAAGCCTGAATTGATGGCGGTAGCGAAACGCCTACTCTCGTTGCTGCGGTTTCATCCTTCGCTCTCGCTCGCGAAGGTAAGCAGCCGCAAATAGGCTCCGTAGCCCGATTCGCGAAAAACTCAGGCCGCGAGATTAAAAGGTATCATGTAGTTCTATCGCAACTTCAATTGTGAGCTGATGTACCTCGAGCCGTTTGATTTCACCACTCTAACTGGCCGTCAAACTCCCATGCGCGCTCGCTCTCCGCGGCCGTAGCGCGCGACACAGGCGCACAGGCCGGCCGGCGGCCGCTCTCGTTCGGGAGGCGCGGACACGCCTCCCCAAAGAGTAGGCGCGCGGATGGCAGACTAGCAAAAATTTCTAGGGACCATAGGGCGACGCAAAGGGCAGCGGGGCCAGCAGCAGAGCGGCGAGGAGAAGCGAGAGGGGAAAATTATCAGCCCCCATTTTGCACCTTCTCCGGATGTTACCATGACAATTAGTATGCCTTCAAGCTGAAGATGAAAAAAAAAAACTTGACGCGATGCAAGAACTTTCACACCACGAGAACTAGTAAAAGAAGGAAAAAAAATGGCAGCATATCCACGGAGTGAATGATGGAGTGTGGGGCGAAGCATCCGTTCGTCCATTTGTTCTTGCTTCCGTCCGTCCATGCGTCCGTCTGGGACCGTCCGTGTGTGCGTCTGTTCGTGCGTCCGCACGTTCATCTGTGCGTCCGTCCCTGCGTTCGTCCATGCATCCACCCCTGCGTCCGTCCATGCGTCCATCCGTCGGTGCAGCCATCCGTGAGTCCGTCCATGAGTCTGTCTGTGTGTACGTTCGTCCATCTATTCAACACTTCAAGCACCACCATCTCGCATCTTTCCATCATATATTCCCCATATAGAAGCACCGCCATGCAGCGGACATTCCAAGGACTAAAGGAGAGGTGGCACACGCACACTTTCTTACGGCTTGCGCTTCGTGTCTACTTCCCACCTTTAACCACCTCGAGTTCATGGTATATACTAGTTCACTGTATTCATGGCACTGCTGCCCAACACTCGCTAAACCTTTC